GTGAAAGAATAGAGAGGTGTCAGCTTTCTTGAAGAAAACATTTAAAACAGTCTGAGCTGAATATTAAGTCAAGAGAGTTTTGCATAGATTGATGTCTTAGCAACTTCAAAAGATAGCAGAAGAAGATTAATTTTGTAAATGGCTGATTCCACAATAATGATTCTCTAGGGGTTCAAAATTCTTTATGAAAAATCTCATTCTTCTGGGGTTTCTCTAAATGTTGTGTATAGATGCTATCTTCTCAGAAAAAAATATTACAATGTGATAGAATGATCATTAATTTTTATTTTAGTCCACACCTTATTTTGAATTAGCCTGCTCGCTTCTGTTCTTTTATTCTCATTCTCTGGTATTATTCTGCCATTTCAGGATGAATTTTTTTGATATTCCCGTTTTTAAATGGGGTTAATGCTGCAGTGTGTCTCTGTGTGTTCAGCCAAAATTAATCTTTCCTCAAAGGCATTAAATTAACATATCTAAAAAACAAATAACAGCAAGGCTTTCTCATCCACTCAGACTATGAAATTAGTTCCAGAAGAATAAAGCAAAACATTGTAAAGTGGGGTTAGGTGATAATATTTTCCTTCTTTCAAGTCCAGGTAATGTTACAGGATCATGTCAAGACCTAGGTGGGCATGGAACTGTGGAAATCACCAAGTTCAACCCCTCTTCTTAGGGCAGGCTCAACTAGAGGAGGCTGCCTGTGTCCAGCCAGGTTTTGTGTGTCTCCAAGGATGGAGATTCCACAACTTTTTTTAAGCAGCCCGTTCCAGTGTTATTGTAGATTTGTCACAAAATCTGAGAAAGCAACATAGTTGCTGTACTTTGTCCAGAGGAGACCAAAGAAAAGGTTGCACACTCAGAATATATTTCAAGTCTTTTCTTCACCAGGAGAGGGAAGTGATGTTGCAGTGACCTCCTGAAGAAGCAGACAACATTTACCTAAGCACTGATGGCAGAGTGGAGTCAGTACTTCCAACTATTATCTGCTCCATTCTCTATTATCCCTTCTTGTATAAAAAAAAGTCAAATTACCAAGTATCTCTATTACTCCCCAGGAAAAATAGCCCACCAAAGCAAATAAAATGTCTCTTTTCAAGTATGTGAGTAGAGGTCAAGTGCTGCCCTTACCTTTATAAGTTTAAAACTCATATTTTTAAATCTGTAAATACATTTTGTTACAGAGTTACATATATCCCAAAAAGTTCTAAAATGTGTAAATGTAAATATAAATAAAAATATATGACTAAAGGCGGGCAAAAATCAGCTACTCTACACTGCCTAGAAAGAGAGAGCTTGGGAGGAGAGAGAAACACACACAAAAGAGGTGGAGGGAGAGAGTTTTATTCCCATCCAAGAAATAGCACTGTATCCATGCTGTAATTCTTTGCCTGGAAGGAAGTACAAAGACAAATCTTCTTCTTAAAATCAAAACAAAACCACCTTTGAAATACTTCCATCCACTGCAAATGTATGCTCAAGTCCTGTTTCTGTTAACTGATGAGCACTTATGTTGAATTCAACAGAACACTTCTCATGAAGCACTCAGCACCTGCCAGGGTAAAAACTCTTATAAAACACCTGCTTGTTTTGTAGACAGAATAATGAAGTTAAATAGAATGAGAACACTAGAGTAATGTGATGGGAGAACATATTGAATCATGCCACAATTACCCTATTGTGCACATCACCATTTATAAATCTAATTAACAGAAAACCTCTTCTCTTTACAAAACTTTAAATATGAAATACCAATTTTGCATAAATATCTCATTTGGATACAAAGAGTGATAGGAAAAATCTTTAAAATGTGGCAACTTATTAAAATAAGAACCTCTGAAATGATAATATTCACTTTTTGCCTGGGAAAAAGAAAGAGTAACAGAATCATGAAACTTTCAAAAGTTGATCAAATAATTTATTCATTGACCAAAGAAACAGATGGGCTGGTTATGGTCTACTAAAAGTAACCATCAAGAACCCAAGGTACTAAGTATTGCCATATCTCAGAACACTGCTTTTCTATTTCCTTTTGAAAACACTTTAGATATACACAGTAATAAGCTGTACTAGTTACATGTTAGAAACTTTTTTTCCTACTAAATTAAATTAATTTTTAAATGCTCATTATAAATGAAAATTAATTGAGTCTAGAAACCATTCTTTTCTAGCTCTCCTGTGAAAAACAGAGGCAACAGTAAAACAGGAATCTACTCAGCAGTAACTCACATCTTGTGTAAATAAATTTCTTTATTTCTATTACCAATCAAGTTCTCTCCAAATTAAAATCATTATGAACTATGAGATTTTCTGCATTTAGCATACAAGTGAAAGACAGAAACAAATGTCTTATCAATCACATCATTTCAATATGCACTGGTGGTTATGATCACCCTTCAGTCATGAAAGTGTCAAGGGAATATTACACAGATGAATCCTTCAGGGAAGCAAATCTTCATAATTTGTAAATTAAAATAAACTAAGTAAACAAAAATAAATACTCTTCAAAGGGATTTCTTTTAATGGAAAGCAAATCAGTTTCTTCAATAAACAGAAAAATGTCGGTTTTCTCACCCTTGCAAATACCCTCCATAAGACAGAGGTCCTTCAGAACAAAGATCCCACTTTGTGAAGTGAAAACCACTAAGTTGAATGTGTCAGCATATTATCTGGACTTGAACCTACTCACTACCACATGAATGAAGACAGATATACTAAACAGAAGTGAGAAGTTGGTTTAATATGCATAAGGGTAGGATCGTGTTAAGAAATTAATATTGAAGAAAAGGAAAAAACTGCCTGTCTCAAAAATGCTAGTTACTTCTTTATATATAATTTTTTTTTACTGTGAATTTGATTATATATTGCAATTGACTACTCAGAGAGAATTCTGGAGGATTTTCCACCCCTGCAGCTATTTAAAACCTGGATGGGCATGGTCCTAAAGAACCTGATTATGCTGATCCTGAATCAGGCAGAGGGTTAGAGTAGGTGGAGATCTTTGACAGCTTCAGAGGGGCTGTGCTCCTATGATTGCTAGGGTAGAAAAAATGGTATCTGGAATGGCTAAGAAAGCCAGGGTTTTCCTTTCATTTATCAGTTAATTTTTAATATAAGACATTATTACTGATTGAGGCTAGGATGCACATCAAAACTGATCACACAGCATTACTGTTTACTCCCAGCACAGGAAGTCTTGTAACCTATACAAAATATTCACCTCTGTCAGACACAGCAGTAGTGCTGCCCCGAAGAACAGGAATTGTGGATTGATAGGAAAAGGCAAAGTGTTTAAGACCATCTTCTTCTTATGCCTCTGAATGCAAGACTAAGAAAATAAAATGTTTCGGCATATAACGCACCCAAACAATTGGAACACTGGTACATAATGTGGACTAGCTAATGTGGACTAGCCTAGTATGGGGAATATTAAATATGTCCCATGGGGCAGGAAGCCAACTTCAAATAAATGTTTCTTTTTCTTCATTCTTTTTTCCCCCTCTCAGTAAATCACTGTTTCGAAATCAAATACATTTTCCTTAGTCCAGAATGCTTTCATCTCTGTTTATTGCCGTACTTAGAGTCAGCAACAGAAATTTTTACAGGTATTGATGAAATATAATTATGTAGGGAGTGGAAGCTTTCATATAAAAATGTATAGCTTATCTTATTATGCTAAACTTTCATGCTCACCAAATGAAAATAGATCACTTTATGCTTTAACAACACAGACCCAGAAAAACATCTACTGGAAATGTAGGTAATTATCACTGCAAAGCTTACAATATGCTTCCTACCTTTTTCATCATCACAATATTTCCCATTTTCCAGCAACATTCTGTATTCCAGGTGTTCTTTAAAATCACTAAAGAATCATTTAGACTTTTAACTTTATATTCCTGGAGGCAGGGATTCCCTTTTCATAAAAATTGCATGGAAAGAAAAAACTGTGAACTATAATCAACATTTGTATCAACCAAGTGGTCTGGTGTATTACCTAAAGCAAAAAAAGCTTCCACTCAGAAGTTAAATTCAAAATGACCTTGTGCTTTTTTTAAAACTGCTTGCAGCTGAGGTCATTGGAATGAATTGTGATAGAGAGTGCTTCTCTCTGCATAGTCAGATGGCATGTGTAGTACATGAATTACCACCAAGTAAGGAAAAAAATCCCAACCAAAACAGGACAAAGTACATCATTCCATTTCTTTGTAAAATAACGGCAAATATTGCCTATAATAATTATTACTTCTAATGAAACAATTTAGGGTTTTGGCAACTTTATTTCACCATAAAGTACATGCTGCACATTTCAAATCTATATTAATCAATTAATCCTATTTGTTATTGGCCTCTACTGTTAACAGCATAAGCACCTGTAACTACATTTCCCCAGCAGGCAGATCCCAGCTCCACAGAATATTATGTAGTGTTGTTTAAAAATACATAGTGTAGTTAAAGCTCATTAAATTGCTGAGTCAAAAACAATGAAATGGAAAAGAGGTTGGAACTGCTAGTGAGTGTTTTAATTGAAAATTTAAATATGTAAATCAAAAGCAATTTCACTATTTACTTATGTAGGAGATTATTAATTAATTTTAGAAGGAGATTTTGAAAAGGGTATTTTTTAAATTCTTTTTCTTACAAACACATAAGCAACCACTGTCAAATTATTTTTACTCTGTCACTAAGATTGTACGAGTCCTCAATTTGTTTCCATAATAGCAGCTTTTCACTGGAATATTTTGATCGACAGATTCATATTTTTAACACCTGCCTCTTTTGGGAGCAGCTTAATGTTAGGATGAAAAATGTTAAGATGAAAAATACACTGGAGGTTTCAGAGCAGGTGGAAAAACTCACAGTTCTGATTAAATGAGAACTGCTTCTAATCCTGTTTTCCACTGTGCCTTAAAGTATCCTATATAAAGAATAAAACCCCACTTGTCACTTATGGAACATTTGAAGAAGAGAGGGGCAAATAAAGAGTACGCGTAACTTACCATTAAAATTTACTGCCCGGATGTAGCTAAGCAGTTCTTTTCCATCAGTTGTGCTCATCCTTGGACACAGACCAATATATCCAGGACAGAGATCTTTATGCATGTTGTGCAGGGCATAGGCCATGGAATACACTGCATCAATGACAAACTGAACTTTTCCTTCTTGTTCATAGGCTGAATCTCTCGCAATTCTTTCTAAGCCTACAGAAGAAAGAGAAAAGAGTTTACTTCTACTGGTGTGTGCACAAGTGTGTACCTGCATGAGCACTTACATGCAAAAATTCACACTGGAATGGAAATAATTACAGCTGGATTGACAGGTAAAGTTGGGGTTTGTCGATCCTTCATCTAAATAAACAAGACAAGGGAAAATATGGCCATCTGGTTTTGCCTCTAATCATTGTACACTCTGCCAGGTATGTAAACAGTATGTTGATTTCTGGGCTAGGAAAAAGGACAGAACATTTCATTACAAGAAAAATATATGTAGATATATGTGTTTCTACAACGCAGTAGAAAAATTCTCTTTCCACATTGTTGATTTTCATTCAAGAGCTGTTTATTGTCATTTATAGGACAGTTCTAGAGCAGCCTGCTGTTCTGTTTTAGATAAATTTAAGGCTACCTTGATTTTTATCCCTGTCTATTGTTTGATAAACATTATTTAAACATCTCAGGGAAAAAAGCTGAATGCTTGCCAAGTGATGTGACCATCTGTCTCCATGGTGAATACTGCTTATTCTACAACATTTTCCTGTATTTACTATTGAATAACACTTCACATTGAGAACCATGTACTCTTTACTGTTTCCTACAGGGACATTTATCCTTTAGAGGGAGCACAGAGCAAATCAATACATCATATAATTTTCATTCTGCAGGATTGCCAAAATTCATCATCTATGTCCAAGTACAAGAGAAGTTTTATGTTAATAGATGACATTACTTAGTGGAATTGTTAAATAGAAAGATCAGAAAAATTATTTTATAAATAAAGAATCAACAAGAAATACCATGTCCTAAATAGAAATTCAGATGCTGATTTGATGGTCAAATCTTCATTTTCCAGGGAAAAAGTGATTGGCAAATCTTGGTGCAAAGTTTGCCCTGCTGAAATATACTTTTGAAATTCCTTTTGCTACAGTGAACTGAAGGCAGGGACACCTAGGTTATCTACCAGGTTATCAATTAATTCAATTTGCAAATAATCCAATCATATTATCTAAAATTATATAGAAATGAGACAAAAGTTTCTGCAAAATTTTAAAAATATTAACTCTCTATTTTCTTTTTTATTGTTTCTTTTTTATATCTAAACACAGGATTTTATCAGTTCAAGGTATCAATTTTGCTGAGTCCAAATTTATAAAAGTACAGTGTTTGTGCCTGAAAATAGAGTGGAGACAAGATCTTTCTTTAGACAAGGTATGCAAGCACATATGACAAGGGGAAAAAGCCAGGGAGCATACCCAGAAACCTTTCTTCTATTTGTCTGCTGCACTTCAGTACCTCCATCTTGCACTACAGTAATAACATATGAACAAATCTGTAATCTGACAAGCAGTGGTGGTTTGTGCTTTAAACACCCCTGAGCACTGGAAGCAATAGATAGCCTTGAAAAATCATGGTGTGCTATTATTTCTCCTCAGGGATTAGTTAAAAAAAGCACAAAATCACTACTTCTTGAAAAGCTAAAAACCATTTGAAGAGGAAGGCAGAGATCATATTTGTGATTTGTACAAGTAGTTTTACAGACACTTTTTAAGACATGCTCTCTAATGAATGACAATAATTAATGAATAATGCAACTGTACTGCAAATAAATAAACAGGAAAAATCTTTCCTTGAACATGCTGAAAATTACACAATTAGTTGCAGTGCATTGCCCAGACATAAAAGAGGACATGAACGATGGAAAACATGAAGCCTAATTAGTTTACAAATTTACTGACTTATTTCATTTGGGAACTACCTTCCAAAAGCAAATGATGGGTAGAGCTCATGCTCTCCCCTTTAATTGCTCCTGCCTTGTTAAGGACTCTGGGACAAGAGAAGGACAGAGTTTACAGAACTGCGGCAGGCACAGAGCAGTCCAACCTGGATGCACTCCCAGAGCTTCCACATTCCCTGAACAGGATGGGCAGGACAGGAGGAGTGAAAAGGAGATCCACTTTTATTGCCAAGATAAATATAATTCCCATCACATAAATGGATACATGTGTATGCTGAGGGGTGGGGAGTTGGTGAAAAACAGAGTGGAAATATTTTCTGTAATAAATTCTAAGTCATAAAACACTAAATGTTGCAAACACTTAAGAAAGTGTATTGTACTAAGTGATACAGATTTTAAAAGGGGAAAAAAAAAGTTTTATTCTTCCCTATACCGTAGTTAAATTTATACCGTAGTTAAATACATATAAAACTTTTTTGCATAAATTTCTTCCATGGCATGAGATTTTACCTTCACTCTTCACAGATATTCTACTATAAATTAATTTATCACATAAATTATAGAGCAAAAACCCAATTTATTGGGACTGAATGTGTTTCTATACATACAAAGGGGTAAGGACCATCACGGTCCTTTAAATCAGTTAAAACCAGAAGGCAATAGAGAAGAGGAGTCTCTTCTCTATCACTAAAAATCACAGCAAAAAAACCCTCTTTCTTCTTAACTTTTCATTTTCTCTTTCGGGAATTCTCAAACATCTAAACTAACAATTTATAAGGATGGGAAGAACTCATCAACTTAAATTACACTGCACTGCTGTAAATAGATGTTCATGTATAGCAACAAAATGATGCATATTGTCTAAAACATAAATATGGTCAGCTCCTACAGATATAATATTACTTGATTGGAAGACATGATTATAATTTTTCTTCAGACTTGTATGCCAAGTAATAGTTGTTTATTTATAGCTTGACTCTTAGCTCTACAAGGCATGTTTCTACACACATTGGTGACTTGAAGGAACATAAAAACTTGTATCTCATAAAATAAATATTTTAATGCTTCCTTAATGATCACTTCAATTTCTGATCCTACAGTTTTTCCTCTGGAAAATTGCTTAAGCTGTGTCATTATCAAAAAGAGTGAGAAGGTACTCCCAGTTCTCAAACCTGCATTCAAACCCATGGTCTGAAAGTGTGCCAGATGAGAACTGGGAGAAACAGATGAGATCTGGGCTCGCCAGTTCCTGACCATCTCTTCCTGATCTCCAAAACAACAGAAATCCAGGGAAATGTGCCATGGTATTTTCCAGCAGGTCTCCCAATCCAGCTGTTGAAAAGTGCAAACCTGACATCAGCAGGATATCAAGATTTTCTCCAGCCAATGAAGTGTGTAGACATAAGTACTAATGCTATCATCTTGGCTTGAGAAGATCTAGGAAAGCAATGACACTAGCCCAGGAAATGCCAGCTGTTCCTGGATCAATCCACTGGAAACCTCTTTTGGGAGCACTAAAGCAAGCCAAAGGAATGATCCCACAAAGCCTGTAAATGTGGAAGAGCTGCTACAGTACTCTTGCAGCTCCTGAACAAGAGTGACAAGCCGGACTGTTGCTGGAGGTGTTGCCTCCATACCTGCACTTCATTTCCCCTTTCCATCCTGCATTTCTTATGCTGCAGGAATAAATGTGTATCTTGCTCAGGATGGTGTAACTCAGCTATTGCAGGGAAATATAAGGAACATAATAGTAGGCAGATGAGACATAGATTAAGTGGATAGGGATGTGACTGGGGCTGCTAGTCTGAGGGCAAAGAAGGTGAAGCAGGTGGTATTGTCAATTCCATGGGTGTGAATTGGGAATCAAGAGATTTCAGGGAGCATAATCAAGATAAATTAGTCCTTTACAAGAATAAATTAAATGTATCTTCATTGAAAATTCAAGATCATGCAGTAAGTAAATAAAGATTAATGTAAGATAGCTGAGGTAATGAATTCATACATGGGTGATGATATCACCTATGAGAGAGGAATAAGTAACTTAAACAATCAAAACTTAAGTTGCTGATCTCACCAGAAGGGCAATAACCTGGCACAACTGGCATGTGATAAATGTTGCATAATTCATCCCAGTTTTAGAAAACTTATTGTTAATGACAGTCTTAAAGCTCTTGAAATAATTTCTGCACACATATAAGCCCGTGACAAAGGAAAACTTCAGAGCAAATTTCCTAGTAATTTTTCTCTTAAGAAAATAAAATATTCTAAATAAAGCAAATGGATATACCTGTCTTGTAACTTGTGACATAAAGGGAAAACAATATCTTTTATTTAACTACACCTTTTCTGAAAATCACTGGTTTCCTAATATTTCAGAGCAATCCCATTCCTTCTGTCTCACAAATCTGTTTCCATTTAGTATTATTGAAAGCAATTCACATACATGCTGCCTACATTATCTCTCCTGATTATTTTGATATTTTTTAGATTCCATCCCATATATCTAGTAAAAAACATAATTTATGTTACTTGAAAACAAGAGGCTGAAGTCAAGGATCATGTGTACAACAGCTGATTAGAGCTTCATATTGGAACAATGTTGATTGTGCAGGGTTTGAGAAAAGTCTTGGGCACTGGAGAGCTTTGGGACACAGGAAAAGGCCTCCATAGTTTACAAGAGTAGAGACAGCTGGTATGATGATGTAGTGTGAGTAGGAATAGTATCCTACTAAACAAAATATTAGACTGGCATGTCTTGTCCTTCATCCAGTGAGAACCATTTGCTGAGCAGTGACGAGGAGGGCCAAGAATCTCCTAACTGTGGATTTGTCACTGGCAAGGAAAGATTTTTACCTAGAGCCTGTATTTCCCCCTCCTGTCCACAATCCCACCAACTCTTTTGTGATCTCGTCCCTTCTCATAAGTGCTAGGAAACAAATCTTTTAGGGACTGTGCTTTGAATAAGTGGAGAAATCTTCCAGGGATAATGGTGGGAGGACAAGTAATGTGGAAGAGGGGAGAAAAAACTGCAGTGGTCTTAGAATGTTTTCTCATGAACACCTTTTATTCCATTTGCCTCTTTTTACTTGCCTTTTTTATATATGCTTGTACAGAATTACTGCTTGGATCATCTCTGCAACAGCTGGGGTATTTTTCCAAACTTCTGCCTTTACAAGTCTGAATTTTGGGTATATAGTAATATATTTTATTTTATAGTTGCAATTCACATTTTTTTACTTACTGCTAAATT